ATCTTGGTGACCAAGTGGTTGACGTAGAACTGGCTGGTGTTAAGCAGACGCAGCAGCCGCTTGTAGCGCACCTCGCGTAGCTCGTGCTCATTGCGGAGCCGCACCTCGCGGCGCATGCGTTGCTCCTCGCGCTCCGTCTCGGCCCGCAGGCGCGCCTCCTCACTGACCCAGTCGGGGTCGAGCTCGTGCCCGGTCGGGCCCAGCGCCGCCTCGGCCGGCTCGGCCGGGTCACACTGCCCGGTGAGCGGCGACCCAGAGCAAGCCCCCGCAGCCTCCGCAGCGGCCGGCGAGCAGCCAGACAACGACGTCTGTGGCGGCCGCTCCTGCCAGCCATCGGCCCCCACCTGGTCCTTCACCAGGAGGCTGGGGGTCTCCCGCAACTCGCCCGGCACCGGCTCCTCCGGCTCGCACTTCGTCACGTCACCCGACTTCGCCCCCGGCCGGTGAGTGGCCAGCTTCAGTGGCTTTTCTGAAGCGGTCTGTGGCCTGACCCGCCCCTCACGCTTACCCCGACGAGTGCTCGAACCAGGCATAATTGGCGAGTCCTGAGAAGACATGGTTATGGTAATTAGTATCACTAATAGATGCCTGATGAATCCCTGCTACCAGCCTGTCCCTCGAAAAGTGCAGAGGTCGGAGACCAGAGGTTTATTCAACTCCATAATCACTAATGGGGATATTTTTCTACTGAGTTTGAGCAGCCTGTTGTGTTGGACCAATTACACTACAGGATGTCTGGTTTTGAACCCAGAAACTCTTCATTTGAGACTTAGTTAGCTTAGTCATTAGAGACTTTGTTAGTTAGACAAGTTAGCTGCCTTCCAGCCCTAGGCATGCATTGGACAGCTGGTTATAAAGTTGTGTTTCAATATTAATGTAGTGGCCTGAATTTCTACTAACTGAAAAGACATCATCAGCAAAATCAGGTGTCCTGGTCTTTTAGCAGGAAAACCACATAACTTTAGGCAACTTGAAATAAATGAAGAAAGAAAAAATAAAAAACAAGCCTTTTTAACAGTGTCATCAAAACAAGATTTGAAGAAACTTAAACATGATCACACTTACATGAACATTTAGCTGAAATGATGGTCAAATGATATGCATACAAATGACCAAAATGAATATAGATTAATGTATACAACCAAGACTGCAATTTTGTCAATGTGTCTTTTTGCTAGCAGGGCAGTGCCCTTTTACCTCTGTCATTCAGGCCAAATGCTAGATGTCTGACAGCAATTGTACTATCAACCTGAGTGGATAACAAATTGTTTGACAACCCCCAAGCAGACAAGGACAAAAAGTGAATGGGGACAAATGCAGTATTACCAGAAAAAACTATGAACTGATAATGAGAATTTGTCATGGGACCAACCTTGACTTAACACACATCTTCTAAATAATTAACAACAGGACAATTATGTTGTTTGGTACAGTTAACATCATAATTTCAACTTGTACTGCAATAAAGAAAGACAACATTACCAAGCATGCCTTATGTAACACACAAAATCCTCTGAAGCCATATCAACAAAACAAGCAAGTAATCAAAATAAACTGAGTCTGAGACCCTGGATGGTGGGTTCAGGATGCAACTGGCACAGCTTAGTGAGAGCAATTGACACTAAGAATCCACATATGCAATCTATTCAAACAACATCAAAAATGGGAACAAGAATAGATTGATATATAGATGCACAAAGGAGCTGGAGGTGCATACCAATAAAAAACCTGAAGCTTAAGCTTTCTTTTGCTGAGTTGGTGTCCTGTCAGCAGCCACTTATAAGGACTGATGTTGGCTGGCATAAGCTGAACTATTTGGTGGGGCTAGCAACCATTCAAGTGCCGGTGCCCAAGTTTACAACAAAATTCAGCTTACACATGCTGCAACTTTTAGATATCGATAAATGTGCATTCATAACATGTGTCTGCCTTGAGGCTATATCATACAGGGTGAGAAAAATAAGATTTTGCCAGAGAATAACCAGCGGAGGTTCCTTTGAAACAGAAGTAAACATCAAACAATGACATGACTTGAACAGTGCATTGTCATACTCATGCATGGTTGCTTCTCATGCTAAAATCTTTGATACTTGAGAACCTTAAAGCTGGGCATCAAACTACCTTCTTTTCATCACAAACACCCACATTTTTGCATACCTGTTGCCAAATTAGAGGCAAAATAGACATTGACTTTCCAAGATGTTACTTATAGCACATTATCAATGGAGACAAATTGCATACTGCCGACATTTCAGTACAAACTATGTTACAGGGCCGAAACATGACCTAATATGCATGTCAAAATTGATGGACAGCTTGAGTTTCAGTCACTGTTTTCTAGTAACAGGCTGAACACTACTCTTAGAATAATGTGTTGCCAAGCATAAGCAGGTGTACCTGTCTTGGCAGTTGATTGCTCACCACCTATGATCACTGAGTGATTGACACGTCATGCACCCCTGATCATTTAGGCGCCATCAGATTATCCACCATCAGATTATGGGCTTGTAAGATGGTCTCCCTGCAGATGCTTAACCATGCACCAGAGCACAGCAACCACTGCACGCATCAAACACACATGTTCCGAGGGCCAAAAGGACGCTCCAAGTTGCCTTGTACCGCCACCATAAACTGAAAAAATTGTCAAAAAAGCGCGACAGCAATGTCCTTACCACAGAGCCGACCCACAGTTATTATAGGGCCTTGATCCAAGACCGACGCGCCCTCGAAAGCTGCACTTCCACTCCTTATTATTACATAAGGCATCCACGCGCCACCCAGCTTTATGCTCGCCGCAAGTTCGCGCCAAACCTCAAGGTCGGCACGCCTCATCCATTCAACTACTGTAGAAATACTTGTCGAATCAAAGACCAGCCACTGTTAATTGTTCCAGAAAATAAATGGAGCTCACATTTTCTGAAAATAAATATTAGGTTCCAAACATATAAAACTTGACGTTTTTCTTCCCTCTTTCCTCGCAAATCAGAGCTATGAGGAAAATGCCGGCTTTTGTATTTTGCCAGAAGAGCTACTCAGTTAGAATATAATCATTGATTATATTTTCTGAATTGCTTACAGAGCATGTTTTGTGGCTAGGAAAAATATGAATCTCTGTGATTTACATACCACGTATTGTTTTTGATTCCGTTGTCACATGGCGAGACAAAACTGACGCTGTTGCCGGCATCTGGATAAGGACGTGTAGGTGGGTGTGTGTATGCGTTTTATTTATTTTGAGAGTGCTTTGAAGTGTCTTGGACTGAATCAGTTCAGTATTTTGCATGGTACTTAACAGGGCTGTGTATTTTTTCTTGCAGTAGCTAATGTAGACTTGTGGTTGGTGGCTGGCCCTAGGGTGCTAGCCATTTTATGAGTATGAAACTAGGACGTTATTATAAAGTATCGGGACATTTCGGCCTGAAGCTTCTATTGCAATGCCTTTATTTCTTCATAAAGTGTCTGTTTTTTGTCTCAAATAGGGCTCCCCTGCAGTTAACTTGTTCCTCTGTGATGTCTTGTATTGGCCAGTTCAGATTGCTGCTGCTGAGCAGTAATACATTGTGTCCGACCATCTTGCATGAACATCTCTCTGACGGCCACATAAGGAGGTAGAGAAGACAGCAGTTAACCCCCAACAAGAGATAGAATTACTGCACATTAAAATGATGCATTATGCCATTTTAGCAGGGCATTAAGCCAGATGCTCGGGTAATGTGCAGCGGTGTGGGTATGTGGTTGCAAGGTCCAGCCAGACATGGAAAGCTACACTGAGGCATTTTATCAATCAAAAATACTGCTAATTTTTCTGCATGCCAAGACTCACCACTGCTAATGCAAATGCATTTTAAGGCTTATGCCACAATGGTTTGCATGGTTAAAATATGTGTGAACTAAATATGAAGTTAGACAAACAAGTCTAATTGTTATACCAAGAATTATTAGGCACAGCTTTAGAAGCTTACAGTTATGACCTATTCCTCAATAGCAATGGATGCACGGTGGTTGTCTAATCTGCAAATGTTCTGCTCAGCTGCCAGGTGTCAATGAATATGTGCGGAGATTGCCAGTATCTGTTATGTTTGTGATCTATCTGAAGTTGGCTGTCATACAGCAGGCTGAACATCATCATGATTACCTCAGCAATTTTGTTATAAAAGATTGAACTAGTTGATTTAGATGCCTTGTTCTTAAAGCGCAAATGAATGAAGAGAACCTGGCGACTAGTGAATAGACATATGAAATAGGTGACTGTTAACCTCAACTGTAATAATTATTATGTGTATAGATCCTGCCAGTGGGCCAGTTCTTCATCAGTCTCTACTGCATGGTAGACTGATGTGACATGTGTGTCTCATGATCAGTGTGCCAAATCCAGCTTTCTCAGAGAACTAGCAAATTACACAGAGCCAGTGCCAATGCACATGATCAGGCCCAAAAGCTTATATATATATATATATATATATATATATATATATATCTATATATCTATATATCTATATATATATATATATATATATATTTATAATCATTACCAACAATAGAGAAAAGCCATGCCATTATACAATGCCACTCTAGATCTATTGCCCAGATGGGTAATCTGTGATGCAGTGCTGACCTGGCCAAAGACAAAAAGCAAGTGTGTTCAGTGACTCAAGCTCAAACCCTGCCACAGTTCTAGGTTGGAAAGGGTGTGCTATGACTGATATAGGGGACTGGCATTATGCTCACCATGTTTACCTGTCACTATCACCATACTTCATCACTTCTTATGGGGTTCATCCACTTACATAAGAGCATGTAATGAGTCAAGAGGAAGGCCCCAATGTGCCATGTGGGCATCATCATGTTGTTGTTGTGTCCCTTCTTTGTATGATTTTATGAATGGATGCCAAATTGCAGGCAGATGGCCCAAATTCATATTTACACACCATGTTCCTGCACTTGCACATATTGCTCGATTCCTTGTTTCTGACAAATCTTGACATTTTCTGCAGAGTCTCAATTCACTGTCACCATGCCTCCGAAGAAAGCTCTCCCGTCCGAGAAGAAGGCGCTGATCGGGCGCGTGGGCACCAACCTCAAGGTCGGCATCGTCGGCCTGCCGAACGTCGGCAAGTCGTCCTTCTTCAATGTCCTCACCAAGTCGCAAGCGCAGGCGGAGAACTTCCCCTTCTGCACCATCGACCCGAATGAGAATAAGTATACTTGAATTGACTAGTGCTGTCGTGTTTGGGACCGCTGTTTGTTTTATGCATCGCGACTCGTGAGCCTTTGTCACTTGCGATGATTTGTAACAATTGGTGTAGATGTCATTTGGGCGGGTGAATATCGAAAAGGGGCCGGGAAAGAGAGACTGCCCAATAAAGGCTCAGTTGAACTGCACACGCTCGTGCCGAGCTGAGACGTATCCGATTCAAATTGTTCAGATGGCTTTCTTGAATTTTTTCGCGAGAACTCAAATTTGCGATTTGAAGTAGCAATCTTCGCAGAATTCTTCAACCAATTAAAATCTGAAATATTTTAGCATCGATACGCGTCACAAAACATAGGCGTTCAATGATTTTCATATTGGTTTATAGATAGGGAGCAGCAGACATCTGAATGGCGAACTTAAGAGAATGATGTAATTTTTTGATGACAGCACCCACCAAATCATCGCGATCAGTCTGTCCTTTATTTAACGTATATTTAAGGGTTCCTGCAGACAAGGGCTGGAAAGTGTGAGATAAATTCCATGCTGGCGTCCTCAGCGCAATTTGGAGAGTCATCATTGCGGCGTATTGAGTCTTAGACCTAGCGTGTTTCGCACGTTAGTTCTTTGATCGGCTACATGCGACGGGTTATCACCGGCTGGTTCTTTGATTGGCTAAATGTCGACGCGTTATCACTGGTTAATTTTTTGACTGGCTACATGCCGACGCGTTACCACCGGGCGGTTCTTTGATTGGCCACATGCCAACGCGTTATCACCGGATGGTTCTTTGATTAGCTTCATGCCGGCGCGTCATCACCGGATGTTCCTTCACTGGCTACTAGCCGACGCGTTATCACCGGCTGGTTCTTTGATTGGTTACCGCCTACGCGTTATACCGGCTGGTTCTTTAATTGGCGATATGCCGGCGTTATTACGGGCTGAGAAGCTGATTGGTTGCCTGCCAAACCTCCTACGCCATGCTGATCAAAAGTTTCGAACCGCGCTTGTCTGAGATGACACGCGACACAAATAGCCCCACGTGTTTAAATACGGGTATTTTTCAGTTAGCTTCCATGGACAGCACTGTTCCTCGAAAGTCGAGGCCTAAACCAAACAACACATAAACAAATGCCTTAGCAATCGTTTTAACAATGCGTTTGGAAATGTTGGCTGGGGTCATAGCTGAGGAAATCGCGGAAGGTGATTTATAGCGCGTTACTGTTACACGACATTTGATGGACCCTTTGGTTTGTTACGCAGGGGCCCTGTACTCTTTGATGCTTTCTGACCGGTTGCTGAATTATCGCAGTATGATGTGTTGGACAAACGGCGACTTGAACCGTTTGTGAGTGTCCTCCTGACTTACCGACCCGAACCAACCGGCTACCGTGCTCGGCGATCTCATCATTCCGGCTCCTCGGACGTGTTTGAGCCGAGGACATGGCTGCGCTCCTGTCCTGCCTGTGCAGAGTGGTGTCCTGCTACGTTGTGACGCTGGTGAACGCGGATGAAGGGGGGGGGGGGACAGGGGATGATCGGTATTCATCTCATTTATTTCATATGGAGCAGAAACGTCTTGAGGTCCTGTCTGTTGGGCGTTGCTCGATGTTGTTATCGTCGTCAATTCGTCGGCTAACTAATTATGACCTGATCATGAATCTCATTGGTAATGTAAGCACATTCAAGATGCTGGAGGCACTGAGGTACCCAGTCTGTATGGAAAGTACTCAAAAGCTTTATGCAAAGCCGTATCATGCAAACTTTTACAAAGAATGTGCATTAATGAGCCGAACAGACTTGCCCCTACTGCCAGCATGAATTGCGAATATGATGGAATGCAGTGGATTTATTACATGCTGTAATGCCTCAATAGGCTCAACATACTGGCAAGATCCTAATGAAATGACAATTGCTTTTGTGCATCCATGCAGCATAGGAAATAGCAGTGTTTCTTATGGTTTGCTGGCATCGCTACCTTGTTATATTCAAATGCAAGTATAAAGATAGAGGCAGATATCAATATATCACATTTTACTGCGAGTCATTAGACTTAAACAATACAAAAACAATGTTCTCTCTCAGTAGTGCAAACCTCACACGCACACTCCCCACCACATCATGATCAACGCAAGCCACGGGCACGCACCACCAGTGATCACACCCATTTTAAGCACCTGATTCACATAAAGTGTCAAATAAGTGTGATTCCGCACCTGCGCAGCCCGCGGGACTACCAAATTGGAGATTTTCTCACAATTTCCGCTCAGATGTTCGGTTATGAAATTGCATTTCACAGTGAGCTCCATCCAAAACAGTCTCAACGATGGTTCGTGGTAATTCAACTGAAGAGCGGTTACTTGTAAGACACAATTTTATTGCTTAAGATTTCAGTTCGGTTTACAATATGTGTCAGATATGTAGCGAAATATGTGTCGATTACTGCAATATTCACCCAATCTTACAATTCCTGGTTAACCCACAAACTCGTGCAAGGTTCTTTGCTCCGGTGCACAATGCGCCAACTTAGCTTTCTGTGCATCAAACGTCAGTAGAAGAAGGAAAAAGCCAGCGTGAGAAGAAGGCAGATTCACCGTCGCGTCTTTTTTCTAACATTCGGCGGGGTGCCACTCTTTTTTTCGGTGTCGTCCTTTTTTGCAGACGGTGGCGTTTTTTTTTTATAACAGTGGCCCCAGGGAATCGGACCCTGATCTCCTCCAGTCAGGACCAATACTCCAGGCTCTGCTATCGCTGTGTACGATTCATGGCGAAGAGAGAAGCAGTGACACCTGTCACCTGGATTATGTCTTGTAGATCATCGTGCATCCAGACCACAAGTGTAGGCATACAGCGTCCCGTGCTGAAGATGGCAGCCATCCAAGCATGACCTTGGCCGATAGTGTCATGTCACGGTATTCCGCCCCCCCCCCCCCCCCCCCCTCCTGTACAATGTCCGCCGGTGAACAGCGCCCGGCAGCACACTGCACCCGGGCCATCAGCCCTGACCTGTGCTGTGACCGATGTGTGGCTGACCGGCACCGCTGGCACTGCGGGACGGGGTGGCACGTGGTATGCGGACGTCCGGCGCCCCGCCCCCCCCCCCCCTCCCCCACTGTCCCCAGCCGCCGGCCCACCGGCTCGTCGACCGCGGCCGTGTCATTACACCGGACGCGCTACACTTGCGGCGTATGATTTATCCGCGGCCACCGCCGTCATTACCCGCCGGCCAATGACGAGGAAGTCGGCGACACGTACGCATTTGGCCGCGTCTTGCCGGGGCCAGGAGCAGCAATTTGTTGCCGATTGTCTCGGCCGGGCGGGCGCCGCTCGCGTCCGACGGACAGTTGTCGGCCAGCGGCGAGAGTGCGGCGCCGGCCGCGGCCGCGGCGCGTCCCGGTGTGCAGTGTCACCGCCCGTGTCGCCGGCGGTGGCCCGGTGTCGCCGTGTCGCCGCGTGTCCCGAGTCGACGCAGCGGCGCCGCGTGCGGGGAGGCGCGCCGCCGCCTCTCGAAGGTCCGCGCCGCGCTCCGCCCCGGCCCGTCGGCCGCCGCCCCGGCCCCCACGGCGCGCCGCTTCTCGGGCGTTCGCCGTCGCCTAGCGTCCGTCGCTGCTGCCAGCTGCCGGGGGGGCCAAAGTCGGCCGTGCCTAGGATCGACTGCGGCCGCTGATCGCTCCTGCGCCGGCCCACGTTGTGACCGCGTGACGTCATCATACCGGCTCTGGCTTTACGCTGGTTGTAGGGGTCTCATTGATCTCAATCGTCTTCCTCCAGTCGTCGTGAAGTAAAATAGGTAACCAGTTTCGTTATTCATCAGAAAGGTTGGTGTTTCGTAAGAAGGAAATGACCCATTTGCTATACACGTCGCTGTCATTGTCACTCAGTCACTCACTCACTCAACGGGATCGTATTAAGTCGAAGAACTCGGTAGGTGTTGATAAACACTGCCGGAGTAATCGCTAAGTTGGGACGCTATTTGCTGTCCGGGCATACCCTTCAGGGGCATATCCTGTGTCCTGGCTGCTTCTCCCGGTTATCATGTTTAGCTCTGGCTATTTTCTTCGTATTTGCTTTTGTGCATCGCCTTCACGTCCATGCATGCGATGTGGGAAAGTGACATGCATTACCTTTGACATTGAGGTGATGACATATGACCAACGAAAGATGTTAGTTAATGATACTCCTCCGTTTCAATAAGCTTGCAAACATGTAAACCAAGTCTCAAAAAAATTCACCGTTATGCTAAGAACAGTTCAGAAGTTGCTCGCAAGAAAAGGTACAGCAAGCGGTCGACGCACTGTCACCTGGTGTCTTGTCTCCCTGGTGGATGTTTACAAGCTCTCCGATCACTACGTAGCTTGCCCCGTCTGATTCGTATGGCGTCTTCTTTTTTGCTGGCTGTTTGCTCTTTCCATTTGAATTCGCGTGAATCGGTGACGTAGGCAGGGGATGCAAATGACAATTGCGCCCCCCCCCCCCCCTTCCGCTTAGGTCCCGAGGCGCCCGAAGGACTCCTCGGGATAAACGATCAAGGACTCGAACGGCTGGTCGGAGGTCGTATTAAGGCGTCCCGGACCGCAGGGCCGTGCCCTCAAATTGCGCTGATTGGGGTTCCTGAGACTATGAGGACTTCTGTGTTGGCCAGGGACCATCAGAACCAAGCAATCGCTTTTTTGTCGGTCTGGGTCTGAGGGTCTATAACCCAAATAGGGACAAAACTGGCGCCCGCGATTTGCATTGGTCGGGGTTCCTGAGCCAGTGACAGGCCCCTGTGTTGGTCAGTGGTCAGAACGCTTACCAGCGGTCCTGAGTTAGCAAGGAATCCCGAATTGGCCAGGGCCACTGTTCGATGAGCCTGAAGAGGGGCTGCAAAGGACCCCCGGGATAGACGATTAATGACCCGATTTGAGGACCGCAGGGCCGGACTCAAACACTAGTTAGAGGGTCCTTTCTGCTAATCAGAGGCCCCTGGGTCGATGAACGCCTCTGTGTCGGTCAGGCACCACCTGTGCCAAACAGTCGGCTCTGTGCCGGTCTGAGCCCGGCCCTGGGACCCAGTTCCCAAGCAGGCACGTCTGAGCCCGGCTCTGGGACCCAGTTCCCAAGCAGGCACGTCCGAGCCCGGCTCTGGGACCCAGTTCCCAATCAGGCACGTTTGAACCCGGCTCTGGGACCCAGTTCCCAAGCAGGCACGTTTCAAACACACGGAGACATTGTTACCTGGCAGCCCTTGAGTTGACCGGGCCCTCTCTGTCGGTCAGGGACCACCTGTAATGAACAGTTGGCTCCGTGTCCGTCTGAGCTTGAGGGACCATTTTCCTAAGAGGAACAAGGCTGGGGCTCGCGATTTACTTTGGTCGGGACCCATGAGTCAAAGAACACTATGAGGCGGACGCCGCGCGGCCTGCGGAGACTGCAACGCATTACGACGGGTTTTATTTCTAAGACTTATGAGCGTGCATATTCATAATTATCTTACATGGCCTTTTCAACACTCAGTTCTGAACGTAGGTTGAACGGCTGCAGACGGACATGAGTTGGCCATGTTCATACAATATTTCGACGCCATCTCGGGCTACAACCTATTCACGGGATTGTCGATATCTCTCTGTAGAACCTAAAAAAACCCGCTGGCTCCTTTAGTTTACTGACCCATTCAAGTGGGCCATTTCCGGTATTTTGGGGATATGAGTTAACCCCGTGTCCCCTCCTTACCAGGACTAGCTGCGCCCCTGTTGTGTGACGGATTGTCAACGGATGGCAGGTCGTTTTTTAAAAACGGTTATTTCGGTGTATTATCGGCTGTTCGCGTTGTTTCGTTGCAATTCGTTTGCGATGTTTATAATATATAACTGCAATATAGATGAATAAACAGGTTACCCCGTATTCGACCCATATCGCAACCCAAGCCATGTCTACAAGGACCACGGCGATGGTAACGGCTGACAGCCAGAATCATAGAAATCAACAATCGTGAGAGGATTTGAATTCGGAGCGTATGCCGCAGCGTTCTACACGGGTGATTCAAAACCACATTTCAGAAGGCTTCGTTCCTTTAACAGGGCACCGCTTGCGGTGCTTCGCCACCCATGACCCGGTGGTGGCAGTGAAGAGCCTTCCATTTGTTTCCAAGGACCTCGTCGGAGGAGGGAAACAAATCAAATGGTAACCAATAGCCGTGGTCTATCTCGCCCGGTGTCGATGATCGTCGGAGGGAAACAAATCAGATGGTATCAAATAGCCGCGGTCTATCTTGCCCGGTGTGGGTGATCGGCGAGGGAAACAAATCAAATGGTAACCAATAGCCGCGGTCGATCTCGCCCGGTGTGGGTGATCGGGGAGGGAAACAAATCAAATGGTAGTCAGTAGCCGTGGTCTATTTCGCCCGGTGTGTGTGATCGGGAAGGGAAACAAATCCAATGGTAACCGATAGTCGCGGTCTTCCTCGCCCGGTGTCGGTGATCGGGGAGGGAAACAAATCAGATGGTAACCGATAGCCGCGGTCTTTCTCGCCCGGTGTGGGTGATCGGGGAGGGAAACAAATCAAATGGTAGTAGCCGTGGTCTATCTCGCCCGGTGTGGGTGATCGGGAAGAGAAACAAATCAAATGGTAGTAGCCGTGGTCTATCTCGCCCGGTGTCGGTGATCGGGGAGGGAAACAAATCAGATGGTAAGCAATAGCCGCGGCCTTTCTCGCCCGGTGTCGGTGATCGGACGCCTGTCACGCCGATGGTCCTGGGATGACGTCAGAGCCTTCTAGCGGCTGGAATGCTGGTCGCAGAGCTTTGCAACCGAACCGGCACCAAACGAACGGGCGAGGTTCTCAGAACTATTCCGTTGTTCAACCCAGGGCAAGGTCAGGTCTCATTTACTGGTGCCGCTGCTTTGCTCTGCTGATTTACATGTTGTATAGTTCACTACTTCGTGATAAACATTTCAGCGGTACCAACCCGCTTATTTTTAATTGACGAATCGAATCAAATTGCTTCGATGCTGAAAGCCCATCTGATCCAACTTCCTAAGTTGACTATGTTGACTGGGTTTGGCCCTCTCCGGTCTGGCTGACCCTGGGTAGCAGGCAGTCAATCGAGCCGCAGCGGGCGGGCTGCGGGCGGTGACGCCGCCGGCGCCGCCAGCCGGAACGCCGGCGGCAGCGGTGATGGTGGGAGCCGGCTGTCGGGCGGCGCCCGCCGGCAGCTCGGTCTGCCCCTCACTCGCCGCTCACTGTCCGGCCCGATGACAGGGGGCGGGCGCACAGAGGTCGGCACCTCATCCCCTCCCCTCCCCCCGTCATGCGCACCTGACCTGCGCATGTGCCGACCGTCGCTGGGAGGTCATGCTCCGTGCCGTAGAGGATGATATCAGTGTCACTTATGACGTCAATAAGGTAATTTTTTTGCTCAAAAGTTTCGACGTGAAGAACATTTTTTTTTAACTTCCGAACATGATGTGCAGTGCCGTTCGTTCCGTTGGGTTCATTCATTAGTAAAATTTGAATGAAATCAATGCGTTATTCTCTGTCCAGCAAAAATGGCTGCGCCAAAAAGGGTATTTTGCGCTTACTTTCCGCGGGAGTATGGTATTAATCATTATTTTATATTTCCACGGGTATTTTCCAGTGATATTAATCTGAGAAAGACAAAATGCTGGGCTGAGAACTGGTGTGAACTGATTCGACTTTCGGTTGGTCACATAAAAATTTGGGCGTTTGCCGAATAGACTGTTATTGAAAGCGTAATGGTTTTCAGTTGGCGGCATATCAAATATCTTGTAAAGTGGGCATGAATAGTGCACCCAAGCAGCTTTGTAATTTATGCGTTTTTTGGAGCAATTGTTTGGCGCTTACCGCAAGGCCTTCGAACGTGAAGTAACAATGCGTGCCACATACCTAATGATTATTGTAGAAACTCAGCATGTTTTGTGAGACCAACAGTAAGTTCAACTTAGCAAGAATGCTGTTGTGGAACCTGCGCTGAATAGGCAATTTGAATGAGGTAAATGTTCCATTCGAAGGTAAAACCTGTTCGTTTTTGGCCATTTTGCGTTTTTTTTTGTCATTTGATTCCCCTTGTCAGGGTGAATTCGGTTACTTGAACCATCAGTTAAAACGTTTGCAAAATGGTATGTGCCCTTTCATTTAAAGACAAAATTGTGAAGATTTCAACTAATGGTTATAACTGAATTCAGCTTGAGAAGACGAATCAAATGCGTAAAAAACGTACAGTTGCGGAAAATGAACCATGTGGGTTTTTTTTTGGACAGCAGAAATATTAGTTCATACATGCATCACGTACTTAAGTCTAAAAGAGACTTAGTGTACATTATTAAAATTGGTTTCAGACGTTCAGGGCGCGTGCCCGCGTGTAACATAGCTAGGGCGCATGTGCCCACGTGTGCGCGTATCTAGGGCGCGTGTGCCCGCGTGTGGCGTATCTAGGTGCGCATGTGCCCACGTGTGTGGCGTTACGCTAGGGCGCGTGGGCCCACGTGTGTGGCGTATCTAGGGCGGGTGTGGCCCGCGTGGTGACGTACCTATGGCGCGTGGTGCCCACGTGTGGCGTATATAGGGCGGGTGTGCCCGCGTGTGACATACCTAGGGCGCGTGTGCCCACGTGTGGCGTATCTAGGGCGGGTGTGCCCGCGTGTGACATACCTAGGGCGCGTGTGCCCACGTGTGGCGTATCTAGGGCGCGTATGCCCGCGTGTGGCGTACCTAGGGTGCGTGTGCCCGCTTGTGGCATATCTAGGACGCATGTGCCTGCCTGTGGCGATCACTTATAAGTAAATGTGTCCTAACTCAATCTGTCGAAATACAATTGATTCAATTAGAATAAGTCCAAGCCATTCAATTTGCTATGTCTATATTTAATCAGGTCGTCGGTGGCAAAATGAGTTCGGCTATTACCGGTATTTGGTCTTTGTGGGCCCGGCACAATAATGCATTTATGGCTTGCTGCAAGCCTTTTGTATTTTCAGTAATTGCATCATCGAGTGGTACTGTACATTATGTTGGAGTGGTATCGATATTTCGTGATAGATTGTAATGAATTGGTTTGGCCTGTTTCGGTCACCATGCACTTGGGTGATGCGCTGACACCATGGGCGTGCGTGCCAGCGGCCTTGGTCGAGGCTGACGTCCGCCGTGACCGCTTGTGTCGTGGTGCACGTGACTGTCGTCCCGGCTTGTGTGCTTTGCTACCTGACCTGGCGTCTGTGACACCTCTGAGACACACCGGTGTCTCAGATGTGTCACACATGGACGTGTCCGGCTTAGTTCTGCAGTTGTGGGCTCGGCGTCTGTAGCGTGGCGTGACGCATGCGACACGGCTCTTGGTGTGTCCAGCCCCGCTTGTGCGGCTAAAAAGTGCGGTGCAACTAACCCGGCCCGGTCTGCCCGCTCTCTGGGTGCGTCTAACCTGGTGCTTCTTTCAGGCACGTCGCGTGCCGGTGCCCGACGCCCGGTACGACTTCCTGGTGGAGCACTACAAGCCGGCCAGGTCAGTCCAGGCCGGGCACGCTCCCCTCGCCCCCCTCCCCTCGTGACCACAGGCCGCCCAGGGTTCCCGGCCTCTCGATAACCAATCTATTCGTTGCTGACCGTGCTCTAATTTTTTTGGCTCATATTTGTGCGGATGTTATTACAAAAATGACGCTCTTTGTGGGAGCAGTGCGCCCTATGTTGTTTGCGGTGCAGTTAATGATGCTGGGACGCGAGACCGGCGGCCATCAGGCTATCCGCTGTCGTCACACGGGATCTGCAACATGTGAACAGAAATACGCGGGGCTTGCCCACTGGCCATCACTGTTTTCGCATTGCGAACGCTGTGGCAGTGTAGTCGATAGGTACAACGCGATTTACAAGCTAGCTATCGTGTGCTGGATCGCCTCACTGGCGACAGTTTTAGAATGCACTCAAATGGTTATTTTCCAGCAATGATTGTGATGATATGATGAATGTGGTCCATCAAATCAAGCATAAATTGCATGGCTCATACCGTGTGTCTAATATCGTAATGGTTCAGGGTTAAAATGCATTAAGTTGCGGAACATTAGTTAGCTTGGCTTAAAAAAAAAAATTGGTTAGCAAATGCTAGCTAGAAAGGCACGAAAAGCTAGGCGAACGAAACACCCACGTGTTTGAGTGCTGAGTGTCGAAACTGTTTGAGGACGCGTTCCGATCAATTGGAGGTACTGAGGAAGTCGATGGTCCATCCACGGGGATATCAGGTAGGTATGCCACTCGCGACCGCTGCTGCTTGTGTCGGTTCTTGTGTTTAAGTTGGGTTTGTGAGCTGGAAGTATGGAAACCGAAAAGTACACATGCAACTTTTTCAACGAATAAGGGAGAAAGGGGAGTGGGGACCTTTGGTGTTCCATGGATGACCCTGGTTCGAATCCCGGTTTCTCCATGTGCCTTTGACGCCAAAGTGACCATCGTAGTGGCTGGTGCTCCTTGGAAAAGTTTGCAGTTAAATGCGTTACGCTTCTTTAACAAAAGAGAAACGGCAATTATTATTTTGAAACTGCAACATTAGGCTGATTGCCCGCCAAAAGCTAGTTAGATCAGTCGGTTATTACAGTTATTTCACGTTAGCATATATGTTAACTAGGCATTACATTCGGCAACAGCGCTGGCGGCAATATGAGCATCTCGGAGAGAGGCTTTAGAGCGACCCGATCGGTGTGGTTCATAGCCCGGGCTTACCTCTGACCCGTTACCGTCTCCATATGGCTCTTCGTCATGTGGCAGAGGTGGTTGTTCTTTGGTTTCCAGCTATAATATATCAGGTTATGATGGTGGCGTGGTCTCTAATGCTCTGCTGGTACGGCGAAGTCAATTTCCTGTTGATTTATCGGGCCTCAAATAATGTACTTACGTTTCATTAGTCAAGCTGTGTCATACCGATTGTCATTGTTGACATTAAGAATTGTTGTGGCCTAGGCTGGTGTTCACACGCCAGCGTTCGCCTGGTGCCGGTCTTGTCTTCTTGGTTGGTTTGCCCCCACAACTTCCAGTATATTGATGTCTACGTGTTTGTGCGTGTGCTTGAATGCGTATGTATGCACGTGTTGGTAAATATCTCCCGGGCTTGGCCTTACCAATTTTGGAGGGAGTACTGGCGAGCCGTCGTCGGTGGTGGGGCGCGGAAGTTCGTTCGCAGCGGAAGAGCTCCGAAAATCCCGCGGTGGGTTCGGGGGCAGCAGAGCATGACGGTGTCAGAACCCGCAGGCCCTCGGTAAGGCTTTTTGGCCATGACGGGGTACGAACGACTAGCAGGTCGCAGTCTCGCGTTAGAGCGTCAATTTTGCGTTAGCCCTCCCGCGAAGGATTACCGAAATCTGGGCCGGGAACTAAAACTGCCGGGCTCGGGTCAGGTGGTACGACGTGTGGGTGACAATGTGTCTTTGTGACAGCGTGTGTGTGATGGCGTGTATATGTGACGGCGTACATATGTGACGGCATGTCTATGTGACGGCGTGTCGGTATGTGTGACGACGCGTGTTATGTCGGCATGTGTTGCGACGGCGTGTGTTGCGACGGCCTATGTTGCGACGGTGTGTGTTGCGGCGGTGTGTATTGCGACGGTGTGTATTGCAACGGTGTGCGTTGCAACGCTGTGTGTTGCGACGGCATGCCCGTGTAACAGTGTGTCTGTGTGACGGTGCACCTATGTATGTGTGTCGACAGCCCGATGTCCATCATGTTCAAGGGGGGGGGAGGGGGACTGAACAAGCATGATCGACATAGTCAATAAACGAAGCAATTTTCTCGATGGGCAATGAGCACGCACATTCCTATGTATTTGCATCGTAGGCTTGCCGCAAACTGCACTGCATTACAACTATTTTTCGCAGCGGTTTTTGGGATCTTGCGGCATGCTTGCTAATCAGGATGTGCCGATGTTGGGTTCAGATGTGTTTTATTTGTTCGCGTACGTTTTGCGCTGTTTCGTACCTTACGAGCTGAAATGACATGAAATGAAATGTTACGTTCTGCACTTTGGTCCGTTGATTGCAATGCCATTACTGAAGCGTCCGCCCTGCGCGTGTTTGAGGCCACACCGGCAAATGATTGGTGGCAGCTGGCATGCACGGCACCACTTCAGGTATTGAGTGCCGCGATGCGATGGTCTTACACGGCTGCCGGGCCGGGCCCGTCTATAATTGATGACGTTGTCACCATGGCGACGGGCGGCGCCATATTGGCATTACCTGGCCAATCGGAGGTGCCGGCCGTCGGCTGCTCCATCTAATGGCTTTCGATCATGTGAAGCATCGCAGCCGGGCGGGCTGCGCGCCGGGCCGGCGGCCAATTTGCGGCGGCGCTTCGTGGCCTGTCGCCGCTCGAAAATGGCCGATAGCGTTCACCGGCCGCTGGTAATGACAGCAATCGGCCCCGTCTGGCATTTGGCCCGATTAAACATGACAGAGTGGACGCTGGAGAGCGCCGCACGCCTGCCAGTCGCAGTGGTACGTGCTCCTACTCATGATAGCGTTATGGGACCAAAAATGGATTTTGAATCGCTGCGGGGTTTCTGGTTCCTGTAGTTCCGAACGCCTTCGGCATGTTGGTGTTTGCGGCACGTTTGCCTGGTCCATACTGGAGTGCTGCTGACTTTCATTACCGTTGAAACAAACCAAATCGTGAGTTGCGAGTAAAAACTCCGTCGAGGAGCGTTGTCTGGATTACTTTAAGCGAAGCGCCCCAGGCATATGGTTAAGTGCTTGATAGTGGCGTGCACTACTGCAGTCGGCCTATATTATCTTCACGGGTGTCCTTGCATGTTGTTTACACCTGGTTTTCATAAATCGCTTATGAAATCTACCACTGCCGTCTAAAAGGTGACGACATGGCGAACCAAAAGGTGGATTATCATCTGGCGCACTTACATAATCACATTTCTCTGAACTATAACATGTCCACGGGGTCTCCAGCAACACCGTGGGGTGCGCGATATGGTGAACTTGTGATTGTCTTCCCAGTGGAAAACGGTCTTGGACCATTCCTGAAAGGCTCCCAGCGTTCTCCCCAGCTCTAACGGCCATTAATTTTTCGCTGCCTTCAGAGAGACGCGCTGACCTCCAGAGTGCAGCATGACCCCAGTGGGAGGACATGTTCCCCGTCCCCCTGTTAGCGGCCCTACTTACTTCACTATCCCAGAAAAATGCCTCCGGGTGTGCGTTCGATCTTCTTTGTTCCTACGAACACAGGATGCTCACGCTGTTAGACCGCCACCTAAAGGCACCTCGCTTTCGATCGAAACCCTGGCTGATTTCCATGCTGCGGTGCAGCCCGCCATTCGGCAGTGTCCATGGCGAAGTGCGAAAATGGGGCACCCGATGCAAACTCCCATCGGAGTGAACGTATCCGCCACCTCGGAGTCTTGGCGTCCGTCGTACAAATGAACACAATTCCGTAGTAAATTCCTGATATATTATGCACTAAATGTAATAATCTGGGTAAGGTACATCATGAGACGCTTACAACTTTCCATCGATTCGATGATGGAATGGATCAGGTGCGACACGAGATGCTTGCCGCTTCCCATCGTGGCTTCACAGAGCTATCAAACCGCGATAGGCGGCAAAATCCAGAAATCTGAATTAGGAGAGTCCATTCATCGTTTGTCAGGCATGCGTGATACGTCGCCTGTATATGTCATAAAGGGAAAGACGGGTGTGGCAGTAACGCGGTGGTTAAGCTGCTTGTGTTGGAAACCAGCGATACGGAGTTCGATGTTCTCCGCGGTGTTCAGCCATCTTGCGTGAGTGACAGACAAGCGACGTCACATGGCTTGCACTGCTGAGAACGCCGTAGAGCCGCAATGACGGCAACACCAGACGCGTCCGAAGTGGAGATGGAGTCCGTTCACCAGAAGTTGCCCTCTTGACCCACTTCAGTGTGCTGAGCGGTGCCGGTTTACCGTCTTCGTCAAGCCAACATTGGCAACAGTGTTCAAGCTCACTTGCTTCAATTAAAGTTCATGCAGCATAACCAATGTTTGCTTGGTAACTTCGGTTCACCAGTACCCCCTGATATATCAAAAGTCTTTCATTATCAACGTAATAACTCAGGACTCATATTTGCCGTTATTTTATTGTTCTAGACCCTGCTTGCTATTAAGTTAAATTCGTTACGTTAATAAGTTACGGCAGTATTCTAGACCCTGCTTGCTAACAAGTTAAAAGAGCTGCCGTCCTGCCGCGTTCTGCGCTAATCGCTTCATACAGTGCTTTTTATGGGTGTCTTTGTTTCATGGTTGCCTTGTTTCGGTTACGCTCTGCAAAATGCTGTCCTTAACCAACCTGTCGTAAATTTGCGATATTAATAAGTCATGCGGTTTTCTGTGGTAGCGTACTTCAATCAAAGAATGCCCAAAACCATGTCAGTGCCATCCAATCACTCAGTAAGTATGGGTGTAAATTTGTGTGCTGAAAATTAAATGCATATCAAAGTGCGCGGCAAAAGTCTCAATTATGGAGTGGCGGGAATTCG